AGAGGATCAACGGACGTTGATCAATCGAGAATGAAAGAGTGATTCTTCGAGTTGATGAAGCTAATGTTGCGAGGTGTCTTGATGGGTGTACGCTTTGAACGTATCCATTTTGGGTGATTGGGAAGTTGAGGATTAACCAAGTTGTTTTACGGTTGGCATCTTATGCATAAAGTGACACAGCATGGTTTAGGTATCGAGCATTGAGTTTTAGCGAGTATGCGGGATTGTTGGATTTGGGCTAGTGAGTTATAGTCGCAAGTCGTCAGTATACGTCCTAGGATGAGTGGTGTGTCGCAGTTCAGTTATGTTTGGGTAACTTGGTATTGTTCAAGGGTGGTACGTTGGTAATCTACAAGGACGAGGTGACCTTGTGATTTTCTGGAAGGAGAGCGGTAACTGCAAGTGTAATTCTTGAGTTCGTACTTATGCGTGAATGATGGCATCTTTTCGTGTTTGCGTAGCACGCGTGGTTTTATCCTTTCTGATTATTTCAGTTTTGGTTTGTATAACCATTTTGTTGTTTTTGTTTTAGCGATGGTGTCGGTGTTGTGTCGTAGGACTTTATGTTCCTACCTTTGATGACTCGTTTCCGAGGTGTCGGTTCGAGTGTATGACTAAGTCTATGGTTGAGGCGTTAGGATGGTATCGATCTTGTTTGTTTAGTTCTCGAGCGAACCGGTGTGTCTGCGACTTGTTTAGTTGTTGGGTGTTAGTTGATTGTCGAGTGCATTGTATGGGCTTCGCATCTCGGCATGGTTGTTCTTGTCTAAACGTTATGGCTAGGGAGATGCCCTTGTGTTAGGTGTATTTTGTATGTTGTTTAATTAGCGCAAGGATTGAGTGGACGAATGCGTAGGCATGTCCCGATTTGTTCGTTTTGGTCAAAATTTTCGAGGCCGAAAATCTTTCAAGTGGGGGAGAGTTGTAACACCCCTTTTTTGATTAAATGTTAATTCAGTTATTTGAAGTAAAAATATTCATAATGATAAAATACTATTTTGAGTAATATTAATTTGGTGTGTAGTAATATTTGGCTTTGTTTGATTAATTGGCATGATTAGGTTTATATAGAATAAATATTATTTAATGTAATATTGTTTAATAGGGTTATATATTATAATTTGAATTAAATAATTGTTGGGGCCAAATTACAATTTTAGAAAGATAGAGGGAGGAAAGTTAGTAGTAGAAAGAGAGTTTTATAAAATAGAAAAAGGAGAAGTTAGTAAGAGTAGAGGAAGAAGAAAAGAAGAGAGGAGAAAGAAGAAAGAAAAGAGGAGAAGAGAAGAAAGGAAGCTAGGGTGGAGTTACAACATCTTCATCATCTTGTTTCAAGAAAACCCACACCAAGGTAAGGGGTTTGATTCTCCATCTCATATTGTTAGGTTTTTGTATGATATATTTTGGATTTAGGGGTAAAAATTGATAGTTGATTTTTTAGGGTTTTGTTGGTTGATTGTTAGAATGGTTTAGAAAAGTTGGATTAGGAGTATGGTTTGTGGGTGTATTAAGTGCTAGCTTTTGGAAATTAAGAGTATGGAAATGGGAAAGAAAACCATGGTAGTTGAATGAGAAAAACTCAAAAGAGTGGAGTTTTCACGCAGGCCTCACAACACGGGCCGTGTTGCAGCACGCGGGTGCCCGTGTTGCTGCTCTGACTTGGCATTTCTTGGCTCGTTCTGGTGGCCTCTCAACACGGGCCGTGTTGCAGCACACGGGTGCCCGTGTTGATGCGTCTGTAGCCTCCAAAATTCTAATTTTCGCACTTCCTTTAGAACCCGTTTGTGTTCCGATTTCGGTAGATTCGTCGACGGAGCAAGTTGCTCCGAATCCAAAGAAAATTGACGTGCTAGTGTAATCCGACGTGTAGCTTGACGTAGTGAAGTTCGTCTTGCAAAATTTCGACTTTTAAGAATCGACCCGATTTTAGTGCGAATGAAATAAGTTGAGTTTAATCCCGAATCTAACCGTTCGAGTTACATTTCGGTGACTCGATCGCGATGAGAAACATTGAGAATAATGCCGGTTCATTGATAATGACTTTATGTTGAAATATACTTTCCGATTTGGAATTGTTGATAGTTGATGGTTTATGTTTTGGTTGAGTAAGTAATCTTGTTTGTATACATTTTACTTGACGTTGAGATTGATAAATTATATGTATGCATGCATGTACAATAGTTGATGTTCCATTGGTTGGATTTGATGGCATGTGTATGTTAAGATCATTGTGAGTCTTAATTGCATGCATTGGTTATATTGTACATTGCATGGCATGGTGGTCTTGAAACAGAGACGGTGGAACTTTGGGTCCACAATATCTAGACGGTGACCCTATTGTGGGAAAAGACGTAGTGACCTTGATCCGAAAGGGAAACATAGGTGGTGGAACTTTGGGTCCACAATATCTAGACGGTGACCCTATTGTGGGAAAAGACGTAGTGACCTTGATCCGGAAGGGAAACATAGGTGGTGGAACTTTGGGTCCACGAGTCGGTACCGCATTTGCATACGTTGAGTCGTGTTGTGAGTCACATGTATAATTGTGCATGATATGTATGTGTGTTGATGTGTTTGATTATGTGTCAATATTGTTGTTGTTTGAATTATGGTTATGTGCCAAGGATGTGAGTATTCGGATAATCGGTTTATATGGTTAATGTGTTGGAAATGGATTCCTTGAGTAAGGAGGCTACAGGTGATAAAATGAACATGATCATTATGTATTGCTTTAATTATTGCCATTTCATTTACTTAAAATTATATGTTATATGATTATTGGAATTCTTACCATTTTGTTGGCCAATGCTTTTGATGGCATTGTGCAGGTACCGAGGACGGTAGCGCGAGGCGCTAGCTAACGGATGCATTGGATTGCAATCTGTTTTATTTGATTAGAGTCGAGTCGATGCTCTGGTAGTAACACATGGGGGGGGATTTATTAGTGTCGAACTCGATTATTTTGTATTTGGATTATGATGTATATAATCCTTATTCGTGTATATGATGTTTTGTATATGTGAGACTTGATAACATATGCTTATGTGAATTATGATGGCTTGATGCCTTGAATTATGTTTTGATTCCTCCATAAACGAAGATGATGTGAAATTATGAAACTCCGTTGCGTTTGCACGAGAGAATGAAGTAAATATTTATAGTATGTTTGTTTTGTGTTGGAATGCTTATACTTTCAAACATACCCTGTCTGTTTTTCCTTAAAAACTTTGGAATGTGATGTGTGTTGTGGCATCCCTTCCGTGCAATTTTATTTCTCTGATTTTAATCTTTACCTTTAATTTGGGTATTTAGAAGGGGTGTTACAAACCCTAAAATCATAATCCTAACATCTAAACAACAACAAAGTAATCGAAAGAGTGAGCAGAAGAACATATCATCTTCGTCGCCGTTGGAGTTTGCGACAGATGTTTCTCCTAGTTACAGTTGTGCTTGATTTGTTGGTTTAAACCCATATGATATTTGTTTAGTTCGCGCGCGCGGGGATTTTGTTAAGAGTTTTCTGTTTAGGAGTAATGGTCATCGGAGAAACCTGATGATATGTTAGGATTTTCTTTAAAGAGAAAGCGACTGTTATGAACTGGATGACATTTATATATTAAAAAATATCACTTTTCATCACGATTGACAAGACGAACCGTGATGATATATTATTTACATAATGAACTTTCATAAAGACAAAATATATCACAACGGTTGAACAAATAATCGTAGTGATATCCCTTTTATTTTTTAGTTAAAAATAAATTTAAAATAAAGCACGCCTTAACGTTAAAGAAATAAAAATTTTGAAGGCGCTGAGATTCAAACTCATGAAAGAGTCGAAGATAAAAACTAAAATTATAAAAAGAGTGACACTAAACAATAATGAAGGACAATACAATAGAAACCATGCACAAAGGATGGCTGACATCATTGAGTTGAATGCCAACAACGCAATCTTGTCTCAAAACAAGTTGCTAACCCAATTTGTGAATGAAATTACCAAGCAATTGTCAAGAAGATGTATGAAATTCCAAATCATAAGTAGATTATTGTGAGTTATGCAATGGAGACCATCCAACATGATTTTCCCACAATCAGATGAAGAAGTCGACTTTGTAGTCAATCAACAAAGGTTATGATAGTATCAGAACAATAACTTTCTAAGGGAAAACAACTATAACCAATGGTGGAGACTAGAGGCAAGACCGTCCAATAAACAACAACCATATAAAAATTACAACCAAATTCCTCGACAACAAGACAAAACTTCAACTATACTCGACTCAGGACACTCAACTCACATCTCAAAAAAAAATGTAAAACCAAAACTTTGATACCAAATTTCATGAAAAATGCTTACGTTGACAACAAACAAATTTCAATGAGATTGTGCATGAATTTCTTCATAAATCAAAGAGGTTGGTTCTCTTATTTCCAATCTTACATAACATATGCTTCTCTATAAATATTTTTTACATAAGAAAAGTCACACATATTTATTAATGCATATATCTACATCACTAGAAAAGATGAATACCACGTGTATTTCCAACCTAACAAAACTGAATTCAACTGGTGCCAACCATCATTGACCATTGAATTTCCATACTAAAATCACTACCTCAACTTGCTGCTGCATTAATTAATTTCTCATCCTAATATCATATGTACTGTAACTGTCACTAACATAACATAGAACTTAGCATACATTGTCATAATATATCTTATAATGCATACTAAAATTAGTGCAAGAACATGCATTATAATAGAAACAGATGTTATGGCATGGTTCCACTAAAAATATACTTTCTCATTACCTTAAAATCATTAGATTCTTGCTTGTTAGTCACTACAATACAATTGAGATCTCATTTCATTTCCACTATAGATATGATCAAAGTACTAGTTTTTATAAGGCTTGAACATTCTTTAACATTGAGATATGACAAACACACATATTCTAAGAAATAAACATATCACCAACATCCAACCTGGTGTCACTTCCATGAATTATCCAAATCTTGCTTTCTTTTCTTGAAAACATTGATAATCAAGAAAGAAGCACTAAAAGCCAATAAGATTGCTACTATGACTAGGATTACAATCAAACCAATAGACCATGATGATACTTTGCGTTCACTTCGAAAACCAGAATTGCACAAAGTTATGTTGAGTATTGATGTATCAGCACAAAGACCAGAATTGGCCAAAAAGCTTCTAGCAAAACCCGAATTTTGAAATTCACTTGGAATCCTTCCTGTTAAATGATTAGATGACAGGTTGAGATTGGTGAGTCTAGGAAGTTGAGAAGGAACTTTGCCAGAAAACTCATTTTCTGACAAATCAAGTTGACTAAGGACAGGTAATTTTCCAATTGTATCTGGAATTTGTCCCGAGAGTTGGTTTCGGCTCAAATTTAAGGTTACTAAGGACTTCCATGATATTATATCTGATGGAATTGGACCATTGAACTGATTCTGATCAAGCAAAAGAGTTGTTAATTTCGGAAGAGATGTTATCTCTTGTGGAATAGTTCCATTTAACAAGTTGTTACTTGCATCAAAAACTATCACATTAGTCCATGAAGATACTCCGGTTGGAATTCTACCAGAAAACTGATTGTTACCTATCTCGAACCGCGAAACATTCGACGATAATCTTTCTGGTATCACACCAGTGAACTTATTGTTGCTTACCATGAAATTCGAAAGATTGAAAGATGTCCAAAGACCACTAGGAATAGCACCAGAAAACTCATTATTATGAATTTTCAAATCCAGCAAGCTATGACAATTTCCTAGTGACTTCGGTAACTCGCCGCTGAGATTATTTTGATAAACTGTCAAGTTGAGTAACTCGCCATAGTAACATAAATTCTCAGGCAACTTTCCAATAAGACTATTAGAAGAAACCAGAAAGGTTTTGAGCTTTGAATATCGACCGAGTTCAGGAGGAATAGTACCTGATAACTTGTTTGAAAAAACACGAAAATCGACCAGAGAAGGAAGAAGACCTACAGTTTCTGGTATTTCCCCTGATAAGTTATTGAGAGACAGACTCAACCATGTTAACTTTTGAAGCTTTCCAAAATCTTCAGGTATCTTCCCAACAAGGTTATTCTCTGCAAGATCAAGGCTAGTCAAGTTCAATGCTTCAAGAAAACTAGGTATTTCACCAGAGAGTTTGTTTTTGTAAAGATAAAGTATGCTCAGATTCTTCAACATGAACACACCACTAGGAATGTCTCCGGTTAAGCCATTATTAGACATATCCAATTTCTCCAAAGAAACCATATCTCCGATTCTTTCAGGTATTTGACCAAACAAGTTAGAGCCATAAACATAAAAAACCTTCAAGTTTTTCAACTTGGTCAAACTCAAAGGCAATCTCCATGGAGGAAACACAGCATTGGATGACAAATCGAAATACTCAAGATTCAACAATTCACCAATCTCATCACTGACAGTACCATTCAATAAACAATATTGAATTCTAAGTTCTCTCAGTTCCTTTAACTTTCCAATCCCATCAGGAACACCACCATGAAAGTTTGTTGAACCAAGACTAAGATATTGCAAGTTAGAACTCAAATTTCCAATATCATTAGGAATGATACCATCAAAGTTGTTCATGGAAAGGTCTAAGTAAACAAGGTTTGAACAATTATAAAATAGTGTTGGAAAATCACCGGGGATAAAGTTGAAGCTGAAATCAACATGTGTAAGGTTTTTTAGTTGGTTACAAATAAAGGGTGGTATAGTTTTCGTGATGTTGATTTGGGATAGAGTTATTCCAGTGACAAAACCATTTGTGCAAATGATTTCTTTCCAAGAACAATGATCGGAATTTGATGATGGTGTCCAGTGGTTAAGGAAAGAAGTGTTTTGAAGATATTGTTTTATGTTTAATAGTACTTTTTGTTCATGATCATGTACTAGAGAGTCAGACTGAGAATTTGTTTGCTTTAGTAATAAGAGGAAGAAAGAAAGAAGAAACTGAAATGTATGTTTCATGAATGATGATGAGGTTCGTCTTGCCATATCTATGTCTGTTGGTTTTTCTGGTTTTCAATGTCTGCATGTTCAAGAGTTTATGTATGTGTTTAAATATTGGAAAGGTCAAAGATAAAGTATATAGTATAGTGAAATGATTTGTTAGTCTTAGGCATGCCAAACTCTCTCTTCTACAAAATAATGTGGGCCAAATGATTCGTAAGTTTAATATTTTAATTCGTGCTAAAAATTGCAAAAATTTATATTAATATTTATGCCAGCAAAGAACCGAAGTGGAACAGAGCGGCATATAAGATGGTGCGGGTCTAAAATTTCGGTTTATCCTAAAAAAATATAGATAAAACAGACATGTCTAACGAGTCGAATTCTTCTTATCAACTCTACTTGATCTTTAATGGAGTATAATATTTCTTTTGTGTAATAATTGGTATAGTCAAAGATACACTAAGGTTGTATCTCTTGGTGGGTGGGGGAGTTATATAAGAACCATGAATTGTGGTGCATAAAAAGCCAATCAAAATCGACATTTGACTATTTATTTTGTGGACTAACAACCAAAAAAGACTAACAAATAAAGAAACAACATAAAAACAAATATTAAATTTGAAGGTAGAAGGATAGAGGCATCAAACTTAATCGTGAAATCAACACATTAACTGTTTTTTTTTTTCCAGAGTGATTTTGAAACTATTTTATACAAGTAATTTGTTCTTGATGTCTTGTATTAAAACCATCATATTTTTGCTACACGTTGATGGGAGTCTCGATAAAATTATATGATTTATTTTGTAAAAACATTGTTTTATCACGTTCTTATAATGTTAATTATATAAAATATACTTTGTTTTTTAATTTTAGTTTTGTTTCCAATTGGCATTTAGATTCTTTGATGAGATGTAAAGATTCTAGAATGGAATTAGATGAAAAGCTTCAACTAAATAAAGTTTCTGGTGTACAAGATTAATCTTCTAGATAGCATCAAATCAACGGTTGAAATCAAGCATGCTACTGTCACAGTGTGGCCATAAGAATTTGCTGCATCCAAATCTCAACTACAATAAAGGTTGTGGTAGTTGTCGAGCCATTTTTCTTTATGCAGCAAATTTTGACAATTTCATCCATATATTAATAGTATCTAGACTTAAAGTTGCAAAACGGACCCAGTTGTCTGTATTTTTCTTGATACTAGATTGAAATTTTTTCAAACTTTTGGAGGGACGGACGAAGATTTTAAACTCGCACCTTCATCCAGTACGCTTGTCCAATTGTTTTGAGAGCTTTTGCGAGTAAAACTACACAGAACATGCATACTCGTTTGCCGCCCCCTATCTATTGATAATACTATGTCAAAGAGCTTTACGAGGTAGAACTAAACGGAACACGCATACCTGTTTGCCGCCCCTATCTATTGATAATAATACCTGTTTGCCACCCCTATCTATTGATAATAGTTGCCGCCCCTATCTATTGATAATACTTTGTCAAAAAGACTAGATACACTTTTCACACCTATACAATAAGTAAATTGGACTCACATATGTTAGAACATAGTTTGATTCTACAACCCTTAATTAGAGTTTTGATGATAACAAAATACAAAAAATAAATAAATTCAAAGATATATATATATATAGAACAAATATGCTTCTTAAAATTATGTTTTATATATATAGAAGTTCTGATGGAATCAGCATCAGAAGATCAGTAATATGTCAGCATCAGAAGATCAGTAATATGTGCTACACGTTGAAGCTACCAGATTATACGCTGAAGCTTGATGACCAGAATCTGCGCATAAATAACACACTCTGACTCTGATCAAAGATCTTTTCCAAGTCATCAGCACTCAGAAGCGTCATCATAAGTTAAAGCAAAGAAGACTTTGAAGCGTTATTAAGTATTCAAGACAGAAGTTAATGCTAACGGCTCTCTTCAGACAAGATCTTCTCAAAAAGGAAAGTGCATTATTATCATTAAAATGGCTTTATGGACAACGTATCTCTGCCTTGCCTATTTAAACAAGTTTGTGTGAGAAAAGACGCACGCATGCACTCACATAATTTACCAAGCCTTCAAAACCACGCTTACTCAAACGCTTTAGCAAATTCAATTTATTCCAAGCTTAAATTGTGTAATTATCACAGTTGTGATATATTGTTTTATTAGAAAACGTTAACACATCATTGTTCAAATTATTTGTAAAAGATTTCCTTGAGATAAACCGATTTGTGGTTATACTCAAGAAGGCTTTAACAGTTGTTAAAGTAGCTGTTGTAATCCTTTGAATATGGTGGATTAAGACCTCGTTGGAGAGAGGTGAAATCACCTTGACGGGTGGACTGAAGTAGTTTGAGATCAAACAAACCAGGATAAAAATACTGTGTTGTCTAAGCATTTGTTTTAAGTTTTACAATTCAACCCCCCTTCTTGTGTTTTTCACATCTTCAATTGGCATCAAAGCGCCTGGTTCTGAGCTTATAACACTTAACCGTGTCAGTACAAGATCCAGCGTCAGAAAAACACAATGGCAGGACCAAATCAAACCATCAGCAATGACAACAATGAAGAAAGAGACAGATTCAGTGGCAAACCTCCAGTCTTTGATGGAGAAAACTTTGACTACTAGAAAGACAGAATTGAGAGTTTCTTTCTGGCCCATGATGCTGATCTTTGGGACATAGTGACTGATCGATACACGTACCCAGTGGATGGAAGTGGTCAGAAGATTGACAGGAAAATGATGTCTGATCAGCAAAAGCGTGAGTTCAGAAATCATCACAAGGCCAGAACAATTCTTCTCAGCGCCATCTCTTATTCAGAATATGAGAAGATATCAAACAGAGACACTGCAAAGAATATGTTTGACTCTCTGAGAGTGACGCATGAAGGCAACATTCAAGTCAAAGAAACCAAAGCCCTTACACTCATTCAGAAGTATGAGGCATTCAAGATGGAAGAGAGTGAATCAATAGAAACTATATTTTCAAGATTTCAAATTCTTGTTGCTGGTCTAAAAGTTCTTGACAAAGGATATTCTACTGCTGATCACGTTAAGAAGATCATCATAAGCTTGCCATAACAATGGAGGCTAATGGTCACAGCGCTTAAGCTAGCCAAGGATCTCAACAAAATCTCTCTGGAGGAACTTGTCAGCTCCCTCAGAAGTCACGAGATAGAGGTAGAAGCAGATGAACCTCAAAAGCAAGGTAAGCTATTAGCTTTAAAATCTAACAGAAAATCTGACTCCAAAGTTTTGCAGGCTGTGGAAGAAACCTTTGATGGATCCTCATCAGAAGAAGATGAACTATCTCTCCTCTCCAGAAGGGTGAACCAATTGTGGAAGCAGAGGTAAAGGAAGTTCAGGAATCCCAGAAGATCAGAAAATCAGAATGAATCTTTTTCCAGATACAGAAGGTCAGAATCCTCCTCTGGACACAGAAGATCTGAAGGTTCTTCAGGAAACAGAAAGCCAAACAACAAAGACATCATCTGCTATGAATGTAACGAGCAAGGGCACTACAAAAGTGATTTCCCAAAGCTTCAGAAGGAAAAGCCCAAAAAGAAGTTTGGCAAGGAAAAGAAGAAAAGTCTCATGACTATATGGTATGATTCTGACACATCTGAAGCTGACTCAGAATCAGATGATGAAAGAGAAAACATAGCTCTCATGGCAAATATAACAGAAGACAGTGAAGCTTCTGAGTCAGAATCTGAATCAGATACAGAAGAGGTATTCCCTGACTTTACTATAAACTTTACTAAGGCTGAATTAGCTGAAAGCCTTAATGAAATTCTGGAAAGATATCAGCAGATCAGAGTCAAATTCAGAAACCGGAAAAGGAATCTTGCTTCTGACTCTGATAAGACTGAGAGTCTCAAATTGGAGAATTCTGAGTTAAAAGATAAAATTTCAAAATTAGAAAACCAATTGCAAAACTCTTAGAAGGAAACAATCCCTGAAACTCCCAGCAATGCTGATGAGATCATCAAGGAGTGTGATCACAGCTTTCAGAAGTTTCTAGCTAAAAACATAGACAGAAGCAAAATGGCTTCAATGATCTATGGAGTTAGCAGAAATGGCAGAAAAGGGATAGGATATCAAGGTAAGGTTCCTACACCAAAAAATGCCATGGATTTAGTTATAAAACGTACTCCACTTGATTCACACTTTATATATGGGCACACACATGACATAAAATATACAAGTAGTGATTACTCTGTCAAACCAAAATTCAACCAGAGTTTTGGTAAAACTAACAAATCAGGACCCAAGAAAATGTGGGTACCTAAGGATAAAATAATACATGTGGCAGATATCTTTAGCAGCAAAGCAAAAACACCAATCATGGTACCTGGACTCTAGCTGCTCACAACACATGACGGGAAGAAGGCATATGTTCCAATGCCTGGAACTTAAGCCTGGAGGCCACGTAGGTTTTGGAGGCAATCAGAGAGGAAAGATCATTGGCTCTGGAACAGTAGGTAATGGAAATCTTCCCTCTATAAGTAATGTTTTACTAGTTGATGGATTAATGCATAATCTGTTATCCATAAGTCAATTAAGTGATAACGGTTATGATATAATCTTCAATCAAAATTCATGCAAAGCTGTTAGTCAGAAAGATGGGACTATCCTATTTAATGGAAAGAGGAAAAACAACATTTATAAAATAAAACTTTCTGAACTAAAAAGTCAGAATGTAAAATGTCTATTGTCTGTTAACAACGAGCAATGGATCTGGCACAGAAGATTGGGACATGTTAGTATGAGAAGAATATCTCAGATTAACAAACTCAATCTGGTCAGAGGACTTCCTAACCTGAAGTTCAATTCAGATGCTCTGTGTGAAGCATGTCAGAAAGGCAAGTTTGCAAAACCAGCTTTCAAATCCAAAAACGTTGTTTCCACCTCCAAGCCATTAGAACTTATGCACATTGACTTATTTGGACCAGTTAAAACTGCTTCAGTCAGTGGAAAGAAGTATGGGTTAGTAATCGTAGATGACTATAGCAGATGGACATGGGTA